TCCCTAGGTTGCACATTACTATAGAGACTGTCAATTCAAAGCATACTGAGCAGGCAATTTGCAAGGAAACACGTACTTGGAGCCCTCAAATTTAAAAATTTGGACAGTGGACTAGGCTCCAAGCGCACAAACAGCCAAACATTCTCCCGCATACATAATCGAACACCCCCCACACTTAAGCACGACATTGTCCTCAATGGAGGAAAGATAAGGAGGGTAGAACGAAGTTACCAGATCAAGGGTGAATGATGATGTACGGGTCAGGCGGTGCATTCCAAGAAGAGAGAGTAATCAGAACACAAACACCACACAAAATCTCACAAAGGTTGAGTTATTGACTCGAGAATCAAATAACAAAACTGACTCAACCGAGGATAAATAGAGAAAGAAATGCAAACCGACTGGTTGGGTTGCCTCCCAACAAGCGCTTCTTTCACGTCGTGAGCCGGACGATGGCTCCTAAGTTGCGGTCCATGCTAGAACCTCCTTGAAGTTGAGGTTCTCATCTATGAGGTGGAGTCTCAAGTCACAAGCAGGTGGTGTGGCAGGTGATGAAGGCTCGTGCACTTGATGCAGATGAAGTCTCCACCCTCGAGACCTCTTCTTCTCTTCTCTCGTCTCATTGCCCCAAACCAGATAAGACAGCATCGATTGGCCACCATCGCGTCCACCAAGAGGGACCGATGTCGATGTGGCCTTGGTCTGGCAAAGAGACACTGCAAATGGGTCCTTGCTAAGTAGTTCCTCGAAGTTTGGTGGAGATATCAAATGTAACTCATGGCCGGTGCAGGCCTCTTCCACCTCAACTCCGTCCTCAGCCTGGACACCAATTGCTTCTTCAACCCCCCTTTCTTCTTCATGTGGTATCACCCCTGGAAAATGATCAAGAACTCCTTCTGCTTCACTTTCGTCATCCTCCACAACTTCTTTCTGCACCCTTTCTTGCTCTTCTTCTTCTAGCACGGATTGGAGAGCAAGTTGCCAAGCAATTTCTTTCATGAGATCTTCTTGCATCTCCTCACTCATGCCCACCTCTTCAAAGCTCGGTGTGGGATGTGGGAAGGGGTGGTCGGCTACGACAGGAAATTCCTGATCATGATCATCACGAGAGCTTTTCGTGAAAACTTCTGTCTGCTCCACAATATCCTTGTAGCCTTCGTCTTCCTCCTCCTCTTCTAGTATGATAGCAGAAGGGTGATCTTGAGCAGGTTGTGCATAAGCTTTCTCAAGATCCTCGAGGCTCTTCTTTATGCTCAGGAGGGTCTCCTCTGTTTCACGGTAGGAGAACCCAGTTTGGGCATTGTTTGGGATATCCATCTTTGGAAAGGATGTCTCAGGCACTCGAGCAATCTGCTCCACGAGAAGCCTCAAGTGATAGTTTGGATCTGGCTGATGGAGGAATTCTTCTTGATAAGGAGATTGTTCTTGAAATACCCAGGGGTCTGATTGTTCTTCGTAGGATGGGGGTTGGTACTGAAACCCGAATCCATAGTCTTCTCCTCCTTGATTGCTCCAGGGGGTCTCGGGGTAATACCACTCGGATGGTGGTGGATACCCCCAATGGTTGGAGAAGCCATGAGGATCCATGATTCAGATCTGCACCAACAAAAACAAAAAACACCCAAGTGAAAAGCAAGGGTGGAAAAGAAAAAAAAGAAAAAAAAAAGCTAAAGTAACAAACTTCTGCCTTTCCTAATAATCTAGAAAGTTCCCCGGCAACGGCGCCAAAAACTTGACTCGCTAAAACACAACACCTAACAATGGCCAAGTGTAACCAATGAAAGGGACTGCAGTATAGTGGCACAAGTAATAAATATCGAATCCACGGGTCTCTAGAGTTACTATTACTCAGCTTCAGTTCATTATCTAGCAAACTAGATTAAGGATTGATTTACTAAACTACTCTACTAACTACTCTACTAATTACAAGTTGGGAACTCACTTAGGTATGATTCCCCCTAGCTCCTCAATTAGGTCCAAGTTGCAATTACCTTTGGTTGATCTACTGTTGATTAAACTGCGGAAGATCCTAAATTAGCTTGGAATCTCTTAAGCTGACCAAGCCCTCTCAAACAGAATACCCGGCAGGTGACTAGCCTTCACCGGGATAGACTGCTAAGGCGATTCACACAGATCTCCACTACTGGAATGAGTTCCAGTACAAAGCAGTGAATTGATTGACTCTCGCACAACCAATTCACTACTATCAATCAAGGAAGCTCTCTTAACCTAATCAGATTCTATCTATCATAGGTTAAAGCAGAAATCAATAGAATTTGATCAAGATTCAATTGACTCAATAAATCATGCCTCAATCGATTATAATCAAACAATAAAGCATCCAAAACTTCATACAAGAAAGATCCTAACTCATGGAACTAGGGTTCCTCAAAACCTAAGTGAAGGGAAGTTACTCCATAGAGAAGAGAGAGACTGCAGAAATCTGATCTAGATCTTCAATCTCCATCTCCAAGCTTGATTCCCGAGCTCCAATGGCGAAGAAATCCTCCAAAATAGCTCCAAGAATGTTCCCAAGTCGCTCTCTCTCTCTAGGGTTCGTCCCTTGGGTGTTTGGGATCCAAAACCCAGCTCTCCTCCCTTTTGGCTCGGATTAGGCTTAAAAACAGGCTTCCCCGAGTTGCACGGCCAGGTGCACGGCCGTGCACAACACCATTCTGGCCGTGCACCCTCAAAACGCACCGTTTCACTTAATCGATCTCAGCCATCTTGCACGGCCAGGTGCACGGCCGTGCAAGGCTGGATTTTGCCCGTGCAAGGCCTCGGCAGAGAGCGCACGGCCAGAATTATATGTTGCACGGCCGTGCGCCTCCCTGGTCTGCCCGTGCAGCTTGCTCAGCCTCTGTTTAATGCTTCGTTTCTCCCTCGTCCGGACTCCGAATCAGTCGCCGTTTGATCCCAGACGCTTGTAGTCTCGTCCTCTTTCATTTCATAACAAGCTTGCATGATTCTCTGTCCATAAAGTGAGGTAGAAATCAATTCTTCTTCAGGTCATGCCCGAGTTTCTGCTCCCGAATCGCCAATTGATCTCTGATTGACTTGAAACTTGCGCCTATGCTTCACTTTATGTGCTAGGACCTGAAATGTGACAAAGGAACACAACCTAGCATAAAATAGGCCAAAGACACGGTAATTCAAGCTCAAACAATCAAGAAACAAAGGGGAAAACATGTGCAAATACCGAGTCATCACATGGTCTGCTCATCTGGGTTGATCACCTCGTGGTTCTGCGGATCACCCATCTCTACCTCTTCTTCTTCTCCGATCTGTAGCTGTGACAGCGCCTTCTCCGCAGCCAGTCGCGCCTTTAGAACCCGCTTGGAGTTCCTGCAGGTTCGTTCAAGCTCCCGGTCAAGTGGTAGTAGATCTCCCGACTGGCTACGGGTCATGCACTACCTGCACACAATCAGCAGAAGCAACCCGTGAAGGCACACAGGTGGAAGAGATAAAATGCAGGAAATAAAAGCTAGAGTAACAAATTCTCACGTTTCCCCAATAATCTAGAGGTTCCCCGGCAACGACGCCAAAAACTTGACACGCCAAAACACAACACCAAACTGCGACCAAGTGGAATCGCAGTCCGGGAATGCAGTAACAGGCAAGTTTAATTATCAACCCGGGGTCTAGATCTACTGCTTACTCCGTGATTCTCTATTATCTAGCAAACTAGTTCGAGTGATTGTTGTGAAAAGTAAAAGCAACAAGAAAGCAGTAAATTGTTCGGGTTTCTAAAGCAGGCAAGAGTCACTCGGGATTGAGTCCCCCTAGCCCCTTAGTTAGGTTCAATTGCAATTCCCTGGGTTGATTTACTGTTGATTAGACTGCGGAAGATCCGACAGTAGCTTGGAATCTCTTAAGCTGACCAAGCCCTCTCAGTCTAACTACCCGGCAGACGACTAGTCTTCACCGGGATAGAAAGCTGAGGCTATGAACACAGAACTCCACTACTGGCGCCAAGAACACCAGTACAAAGCAGTAAACTGGCTAACTCTCGTATAGCCAATCTCCTACTATCGAATGAAGTGGCTCTAACAACCTAATCAGATTCTATCTATCTCAGGTTGAAGCAGAAATTGAGACAAGCTGATCAGACTTAAATCAATTCAATAAACATGCGTCATTCGATTAAAATCAAACAGTAATATCATCCCAAGTCATTACAATCAAATCCCTAACACAAGGAACTAGAGTTCTTCATACCCAAGTGAGAGAAGGGTTCTACTCCATAGAGAGAGAAGAGAAAACAAGAATCGGATTAGTCATACTCATAACGATGAGGATAATCTGCTCCGGGACGATGATTTCCACTCCTATGGCAATCTCCAAGCTCGATTCGATGAAATCCAGCTCTAAGACAGCTTCTAGGATGTGTTCTTCGCACTTTCTCTCTCTAGGGCTCTGTTTTTGCTCTGAAAACACGATTCTCCCACTTTTGGCTCGGAATAGGCTCTATAACCAGGCTTCCCCGACTCGCACGGCCAGGGTGCACGGCCGTGCACATCACCAGTCTGGTCGTGCACTCCAAAACGCGCCGTATCATTAAATTCGATCTTCAGCCATCTTGCACGGCCAGAGTGCACGGCCGTGCAGATCTTCAGGGGTGCCCGTGCTCGGCCTCGGCCAAAACCGCACGGCCAGAGTTGCACTTTGCACGGCCGTGCAACCTCCCTGGTCTGCCCGTGCAACTCCCCAAAAAGCTCGCCATTCGTCCGTTCTTCGTCCAATCGACCCCAGACTCGCTCCTAAGCCTTCATTCACGTACTAGGACCTGAAATATCACAAACAAGCACAACCTAGCGTGAAATCGGCCTAAAACACGAGAATCAACACCTCAAACGGTGTAAGAACGAGGGTAAAAACATGTGTAAATGATGGTCTATCATTTGCCCAGAGGTAGTTCAATCTTTTTTCAAGTGTCGGGAAATACACCTTCCTCTCCAAACCCCTTACTACTAGTGCTGATCTCCATTCCCTCCGCCACCTTATCTTCTGCGCCGCTGTGAACGGGATTGTGGGGCACTTAGGATCGTCATCAATGCTTGGGAAATCATCCTCCTCCTTTTCCCGTTGAGCAACGTCCTCTGAATCCGACTCCTCCACATACCAGGTCTCATCCCGGAGGACATCACTGAATAGTCTTTTTGGCGAACCATACCAGCTATTTGACCCTCCTCCCATTCCGGTTGTCTTCTGTGTTCGAAAGGTTTCATCTTCCGTTTCCATACCCGCCGCTCCTCCATCTTCATTAGTTGGAGGTGTTGTGTCAAAGTTCATTGGTCGGACCTTCTTCTTCGCTTGCACCGTCTCCTTTTCGCTTTTTCCGTCCGGCGAAGAGGAACCCGGAGGCGGTCGCCATCCCCCAACAGTGTCCGGGGGCTTATCAGCCAGCGTCGTCGTCCCTGACGACGGGGGAGCCGCCATAATCAGCGAAAAAAGAAAACCCTAGGGCTTTTCGCGTTGAGCAGAGGATTCCGAGAAATACGAGCTCTAAAAAAGTCGCACGATTTTTCAGGTCGATCTACCATGGTGGAGAATATTTTATTTTAGCTCTTTTGTGATTTTAAGAGAGGCTAAAATGGTGGAGAATATTTTATCTTTTTTGTTTTAGTATTTAAATTGAATATAAGTGCTTTTAACTAACGAAATTTCTTTTATTGTAACTTTCAACCGTTCGATGGCTATTTTAAAACAAAAAAAATATATTTAAAAATTAGATGATTCTTCTATTTCAACTAAAAAAAATGGTATCTCCGAAATTGTTCAAAATCCTGGTAATTTGGATGAACAAAGTTCATTTTGGTGTAACTTTCTTCTATTTCAACTAAAAACAAAGTATTTCAGAATTTGTTCAAATTTTATAGGAATGTTCGTATTCAATTATCATGAATGAATATATAAATTTTCAATTAGAAAACATAAGTTAACAATTCATAAGTTAGGATTGCTAAATACGCAACAGTAATTTTTAGCCATCAGGGTTGCAGATGTTTATGTTTTCGAGGGGGGCTAAAAGGCTATAATAGCCTTAAACCCCCCCCCCCCCCCACCCCCAATTTTGCACCCTGTGTTATCGTTAGCCTTACTGGTATAGATTCGTTACAAATAGGGCCGCAAACGAGTCGAGTAGAGTCAAGTTTTTGCTCAGCTTGAGCTCGACTCGTTTATAAATTTTTTAGCTCGAGCTCGAATTTTGATAATCCAGCTCAAGCTCGAGCTTGGCTTGAATAGAAATAATCTAGCTTGAGCTCGAATCGATAGAGCTCGATAAATGCTCATTAACAGAGCTTGTCAAGCTAAGTTCAAACTCGGCTCAAGATGAGCATAATTTGAAATCATTCTTGCCGAAAAAATGTGTAAACATAAGAATTTAAATGATAAAAAGAACACTAGAAATTAAAATTAACATCTAACTTCTATACACATCCGTATTAACAAGATAATGTTCATATTCAGAAGAGTAATTAATCCTTATACAAGCTCTAAATAAGGAAGCTCGCGAACTTAGCTCAACAAGTCGACGAGCCAAGCTAGCTCACGAGCTTATCAAGTTGAGCATGGCCTAGCTCAAGGTTGGCTTGTTTACTAACGAGCTGGTTCACGAGCCGGCTTGTTAAATAACGATTCGAGTGACGAACGATTTTTTTTCGATTCGAATGTCGAGTTGCTCGCAGGCAGCTGGGCTCATTTGCATCCCTACTGACAGACCGACCAAGGCTTTTTTAGGGGTTTGCCTTTGCCAAACGTTAATAATTTATTATAATATAAAGATCCGACTTCTCACTTAATAGAGAGAGATATGATATGGGTCTCAAGTCCAAACGGAGATCCATTGCAACCTGCCTGGATCAGATCCAGTGCTTAAACTCTTACTATTGGTTGAAAGGATTTTAGTTGGGTTAATTGCAATGGGGCATTGCTATTCGTCGCCCTAAAATTTCTTATTTGTCGCCCTAATTAAGTTGATTTTACTCTTATACCCTTAATTTATTTATTTATATTTTAAACACTTAAATCCAAAACAAACTTATAAATTACCGATTGTGGGATGGATCAGAGCTTTCAATCATGGAGACGTACGTACGGTGGTGGCGTGGAAGTATATCATGATCAATTCACTCTCCGGCAGCCGGCAATCTCAGTCAGGACGATGGGCGCCCGCTGGTGGATCAGTCAATACTATTAGATCAACTCCACAAATACATATGCAGCATCTAAAAACTTATAAATTACGATGGGGAGAAACAAATTGAAATTGAAATTGGGGATAGGGGTATATATATGGGTATAAATGCTTCTTCCTCCTCTGAGTCCTTCAACAACAACGATGAGATTGGGGTGGGCGCCGGATATGGCGGATTTAGGTGTGGGAGGGTTGATGGTCGGCTGGAGGGATTAGGTCTGGCCGTCTGGGGTGGGGGTGGGCGGCCGATGAGGGTGGGGGAGTGACGATGTCGGGGTTGGGAGGGACGACGGATTAGGATTGAAATTTCGTTGAGGGTAAATATGTCACTTTAGTATATTTTAGGGCGATAAAATTTAAATTTTAGGGCTACGAATAGCGATTCAGATTGCAATGTTGGTCACTGAGATTACAAAAAATGTTCAAGTTTGGTCACTCAAAATATTTAATTCCATTCGTGGTCCCTAGCATTAGTTAAACATTTCAACTTTAGTCACTCTCCGTTACCTTCCGTTAGTCTCCGTTAACGACGTTAATTTTTTGCTGACGTGGCTAACAGAAATGCCTACTCAGCCAATTTAAACGATAAAAATAAAAAATACAATCTACCACATCATAATAAACCCGCCACGTCATAAACCCTCAATCAGCCAACCGAAATTAAACCAAGACCCGCCCGCTAGTCCCATCCCACGACCCGTCGCCACAAAAACTTACCCTATCCCTTTCCCCTCTTTCTCCCTCCTCTCCGGCCCGCCGCCGCTCCTCCACAGCCTAGCCCAGTTGAAATTTCGATCCTCCGAACAATTCATTTTCCCCACCATCACGATGATGATGACCTGTAACTCCCAATCGAAATCCTAGCCCTCGTCGCCGACTTCATCATCTTCTTCCTCGTCTTCACAATCCTCACAATCGACTCCGTCAGTCACAACTATCTCCATGGATTCTACGGCCGACCCGGCAAGCTCGTCTCTGCCATCAAATCCTGGATCAATCCTTGGTGGCGATTCTCTTCCTCGGCTCTCATCGACCGCATCACTGGTCGTCACATCTCATCCCCCAAAGGCCCAAACTCATTTGACGACTACGGATCGTAACAGGGGAAACACAGTCGAAACCCAAATCTGAAATTCAAACCCTCTTCTTCTGCAAATCCAATCTCCCCTGTCCCGCATCAAAAACCTTATCTCCTTTATTTCTCCCCATTGCTCCTTCCCCTCAAATCCCTCTCTTCCGATCCTCCTCCGTTGACTCTGCATGTCGGCCGCCATGCACCATCACCCTCACCCTCACTCCGTCTCTCCTTTGAAGATGATCCGGTTCGTTATTGATTAATCAGGGCATACAACTATTGATTATGCGATTTTCAATTAGATGGATAGGATAATGATAGGTAAAATTTGGAGGATTGGGTTGTGAGGGGACTAACGGAGGAAGGGACGGCGAAGATTGTGAGGAGGAGGATGGCGGTGGAGAGGAGGAACAAATGGGATGCCATTTTTTAAGTAGCTGGGGAGATTGGATTTTTTGGGTTGGAGAATACAGAGAGGTTTTGGGAGAAGGAAGGAAGAAGAAGAAGAAAAAGCCTCTTCTTTTTTTAAGCTGGCCGGTTCAATTCATGGGTTTGATTAAGAGTGGGTCATTTAATGTGCTTATGTGTCAGGGTGGATTTTTTTTTTGGTAAAAGTTGGATGACTCAGCATTTCTGTTAGCCACGTTAGCAAAAAATTGACGCCGTTAACGGATACTAACAGAAGGTAACGGAGAGTGACTAAAGTTGAAACATTTAACTAATGTTAGGGATCAAGAATGGAATTAAATATTTTGAGTGACCAAACATAAACATTTTTTGTAATTTCAGTGACCAACCAACCATGCAATTAACCCAATTTTAGTTAGTTTATAGAAGGTTAGTAGTTAGTTTGTTATTAAGGGTAAATTAGGTATTAGAGAAAAATATTAAAAGCTAGTTTGTTACTAATCTTAAACCTATCGGCCAAAAAATGAAAAGAAAACCCTAATCAACCATTTTACCCAAGCCCTTGTGCTTGTTTTGTATGTAGTTGTCGGTCTACCTCTTCAGCAACGACGACAATCTCCCGGTGCTCACCCGACGATACGTGGCCGCCATCCACCGCCACAAGGCCTTGAGCCTTGAGCCACCGTCGTAGCCTCCTACGTCGATGCAAGATGGTTCATTCCCCCCTCCAAAGACGACAAATGCTTCATTCCCAATGAATAGCGCTGCCGATATGAACTGATGCAACTAGGGATGGCAATCAAACCTAAAATCATGGGTATCCTACCCGACCGTAACTGGTCAACGTGGATAATTACCAGTTTTGACGGGTTAAGAGTCGGGTACGGGTGATACCCGGTTGTAAAAATGCGGGTAGGGTACGGATAGGGTAATTGATAACACCCGCCCCTCTAACTATAGGATCGATTTCCCTTTTCCGCTTTCCCACTCCACCTGTTTGTTTAAATTTCTTTAAGATAGTCTTCACCTGCAACATGCAATTTAAGGGGAATGGCACCCTTCTATTTCTTATCTTCCCCCGTTGTGGATTTAGTGGGTTTCCGATTCATCCAAGCACGGTTGGTGATCTTTCGTGCGGTTAGAAGTCCTGTGCATATAAGTGGTTTGAAGTCTGAATAATATGGTGTCTCCAACAATATGAATGTGCATATATGTGCATAAGTTCATATTTTAAAATTCGTACCCGTGGTTACCCAAATACCCGTGGCACCCGGTGGGTAGGGTATAGTAATAGCATTTCCATACCCTGCGGTTATTTGATCGAGTATTTAGGAGGCTCAACTCGGTGAATTAGGAGTTGGTATGGGGTGAACCCGCACCCGACCGTACCGATTGCCATCCCTAGTTGCAACACTCGATCTTAACAAAATAGACTGTTATTTTTCCGCATCATCGCTTTTCTTTGCTTCTCGACGTTGATAATAAATTTT